TTTAATCTCCATAATCATTAACCAAACACAAGAGCAAAAAGTAAGATAATTTATCTGTACTGTCAGTATTTTGAGTTGTTACATGGTAAACAAGTATTATGGTAAATGCAAAGTATTGTATGGAGTAAGAATATTTTGTAGCATGATGTAGATCTTTATAGAAGAGTGGTTATAGTTACTTTAGATACCTGGAGTCACAGCTATGTACATGGATTTTTGTGCTGTTTTTTTGTTAGGGTATTGGTTTTTGCCTTTAATGGTGAATTGAAGAAAATTAAAATATTTTTATTTTACCTGTAAAATGTAATTTAGGATTTTTACTTCAGAAGTGCTTCTGTTGTTACTAGTATACTGATTACAATGATTCATTATAGGATGAATCATATTTTTGGTGTCGAAAGCTTCTAACAACGTTTATCAGTATTGATACAGTGCTCAATATGACATTATCAGTGTGATGTGGCTGTAGTCAAGTGACCAGACTCAGGCTTCAGAAGTCTCTTTATGAGAATTTAGCACATCTAAGCATGGGAGGGAGAGAGCAATTTAAATATTGTGTTATTTTGTCTCATTTATAGCTTATTAATGCACACATATTTATATGGTACTTCTTACAGAAGGCCCAGATGTTTTGCGAACCACTGTCATAAGCTGAATTTTGGGTGGAGGACAGTAGACAGTTAACATGGAATAATAGCATTTTTGTGCTTGACTGCTTCTCTTCTTATCAATCATAGTTAATGATTTTTTTTTCTTTGTTTCAAGTAAACTTGGTTGTGCTCTTCAATAGGGTCAATTTTATCAAAAGCACCTGCTACCACTATCACTTTCTCTTCTCTGAGAATATTCTCCGGTATCCTTAAAATATGCTTGGGTAGAGTACTGACTTAAAATGCAGTCTTTCCAAGAGGAAGGACTGCAGGCTTTTTGATCTAAGCCAGGCAAGTAATAAAGAGTAGTCTAAAGACTGAAAAAACTAGAATAAAATTTGTATTTCTAAAGATTTATTTGAGAGCAAGCCTGAAGAATAGAAAAAAACAAAGTAGAGCTGTTGTATAGGTGTGTCCAGATGGGAATAATACTTAGTAGGGAGTTTGAAGGTAACAGTGGCCAGGAGCTGGCAGAAGAAATGGGACAGCAGGAGATTGGACATTGCATTGATTTGGAACACTTGCATAGCCTCAGACTTGTCTGGGACCCTCATTTTCTAGTCTCTTGGAGCTTAAACCCTGCCTTTCCTTGTAGATAGCTTCGACTATGGAAACTGTGATGGTTGGTTAGCATTGATAAATTGTTATCAAAAAAATAATAAATTCATCAGCAAACTCAAAGAAAGGATTGATCAAAAGTATAGTAACCAAGTCTGATTGACCTTGACTGTTAAAGAAAAGGACACTTAATTGCCAGGCTGACTAGATCAGCGTATTGCAGGGATCCAGTCAAACCACTCCCCCTGCTGAGGAAGCAGGGAGACATGAAACAAAGAGACCTGGGGTGGTGGAAGAGGTCTACCTCCAGGGAGCTGTAACTTGTACTGCTAATATCTCAGCTGAAACCACTCCCCCTGCTGAGGAAGCAGGGAGACATGAAACAGACCTGGGGTGGTGGAAAAGGTCTACCTCCAGGGAGCTGTAACATGTACTGCTAATATCTCAGCTGTTTCATTGTAATTCGGCTATTTAATGTGTTTGGATTTACAAATACTTGGAAGGAAAGAATCCAAAACTGCTTGGTTCTCAAATGCAGACTGGGCTGACACAAATACATCCATCCAGAAGATGGGAGATGGAATTTGGAGACTGGAATGTGAGGTTAGAGAAAAGAAGAAATCTTCATAGTTGATGTAGTAGATGCTCTTACAATTGATTTAAATTTCATTGTACCTAATAACAGTAACATCAGGGCTTATGATTTCAGTCCACAGAAAATTGCCTTAGCAATGGTGAGATAAATGTTTTGGGAACAATTGATGCATAACAAACAAGTTATTCTCCCCTCTGAGTCCAAATAGCGTTGAACAGCTGTGTGCAGGTTCAGCTTTCCATCCAAGAAAGCTGGAAAATATTGGGGAAATCTTAAGGCATGAACTCACATGTGATGCTGACTAAATGCAGATGGCTTTAGTGGTTGCTGTCTTCAGTTTTATGCTTAACCTGTATCTCAAAGGCTGCTGCTGCTGCTGCAGTACTGGCTGAATGATATATGAAATATGTGTGTTTACATTTATGAGCCAAACTGTAAAAATGGAACAGAGTCACATAGCCAAAACTTGTAGCTGCTAAAATTCTTGTGGCTGGGAAATATGAGTGGAAGTTCTTGCTTGCTGGATGCAGTTGAGGAGCAGTAAACAGTAAAAATGACAGTCATTCAGAATGGGCAAAGTCCAAAGTTCATTTTATTTGGGCTGGTAAATGGTAAATTGGATCAGGAAGAAAAAAGGATTCCAATAATTGCAAGAGTTTGGTTTAGCATAGCTAGAAATGGCAAGGATGCTCATGACTATTCCTGTTCTTTGCCTGCTTGTGAAAACTTCCACCTTGAACACAGATGCTAGTGCTGACAATTTTGGGACATTGTAAAATTATCTGGAGTAAGGGCTAGATTTTCAGAACAGCAGTCCTTATCACTGTAGAGGGGAGAAAAAAAATCAAAATAACTAGAAGTTAGTTATAAACTGCTTGGGGAAACTTTGTGATTAGCTCTGGGTCTGTACTCTGACATCTTGACACCAACTTGGCAAATACTTGCAACAACTGCTGTAGTGAGATTTTGCAATTCTGGAGAGGCCTGGATGGGAACATGTTAGTCCTGTTGCCACACAGACAGAAGAGCTTTGTTGGAAAGCTGATTGCAAACACTAGGGATCAGCTTCTCCATCTTATCAGGAACTTTTGCTCATTTTGTCCTCATATGTTCCAGAAATGCAGATGGTAATGGTTCATTCACAACTGGATAGTCACAGGGACAGTTGGTGTAGTCTGGTAGGAATGGGCTACAGAGCAGGCTAAGCCTTCTCAGAAACTAGATTTTCATACTGGGATATTAGGTAATTGGAAAATCATGTGGCAGTGTTGGTCTTGAGAAAGTGTAACATCTCCATGTCAACCCTGAGGAAGGGTCTTCTGAGCCCAGAGGAATTTGGCATTCTGAGTGAAACACTCCTCTGTAGGCACAAGGAGCTAATGGGTGACAGATTAAGAATTCAGCTGATTACAGCAGATATCCAAGACCTTTCCAATACTTGATGATGACCATATGGCTGCTGTGCTCTTTGCAGAAGCCTTGACTGGAAGAAAAAAGGGTTTCTACAGATATAATCAGAATGCAGCAGGAACCATCATCAGTGTTTCAGTTCCAGGCACTGATGTGTTGCAAAAGACAGTTGTGAGAGTTAAGCTGTTGTGTGGTGTGGGAGAGTGTTCATCAGCATCTGTGTGGGTCCTTACATCAGCCAGAAAGCAGCTGTGAACCTTTTCACGGGCAAGTTCAAGGTTTGCTCACTAAAATCAAGAGCATTTGACTGTAGTATAGTTTGCAGTTAATGAACCTTCCACCTGATGTGTGAGATAGGATTCCAGAAAAGGGAGTGCACCCAGCACATCCTGTTCCTCTTAGTGACTTACTAACCAACAGTTGATGGGAAACAGCAGGTAGCTGACCACTTATTATCTTGGGCTTTAAATTAGACTCAACCTGATCTGCTCAGTAAAGCTCCTGACAAGGCACAGAGGTATCTCCAGAGACCCAGAAAGCAGGATACAGGGTTGGGGGGAAGTGCCCTTTTGTAAGAACAAAATTAACTTGATCTGTGGGAATTGAGAAGATGATTTTGGATGATCAGTCATATGTTTGAAAGCAAACATTTTCAAAAAATTGTCTTGTTTTGATTCCACCCACAAGGTGGAAATTCCACAAGGATTTCCAGCCCACAAGGGTGGAAAGCAAAAGTCTGCTAAATGTAGTGGGTTTGGTAGTTTTATTTTGGTGCCTTGACTTCTCAGAAATTTTACATTGTGAGAGAGTTACTCTTGGGTAGAAAAGACAGAATATAATTTTTACAGACAAAAAAAAAATTCCTTCCTTGCCTAAAAAAACCCCCACAACTCCTTGAGCAGTGGATCACTGAATCCTGGTTCCTGGTGGCATTTGCCATTGTCCAAATCTTCTGTTCCTTTCCCTGAAAAAGGAACTTTTTCTTCCTTTTTTTTTCCCTTTCTCCTTTCCCTTATTACCCCTTCTCCATGTCCTCTCCTCTGGTGTACACAGTTTCCCATGGAGACCAGGCTGAGGCAGCAGTGGGCCCCTGTGCCATCAGGTGCCCATCACACCTGCAAAACAACCTACTCTCCCTCCCTCTCTCCCTTTCTCTCCCCTACCATCCTACCCCTCCTGCACCATCTTTATGCCAGTTTCCTAATTACTCTAAAATATTTAGTTTTTAATCTGACAAGCAAAAATTTAGGATCAATCCTTTGGAGGGAGTATGGGAATGTTAATAGTGTTAAGCAGAAGCAATGAACTCACATCCCTTAGTTCCAGTTCACAGTTTTCCTTTACCCTACAGAGACTCACATATGTTGATAATGTTACTAGTAATCTCAACCCAGTTTTGCATCTGTCTTCATCCAAGAAAACCACCTTAAGAACACACTTCACTCTAAGAATATGAATAGTTGAAATTCTGAAAAATAGAAAAGGAACAAAGTTAAACAGAGTCACAGTAATCCTGAAAATTTTATACAAAGATGTATTCTCTTTTCCCACTTATTTTCCTATTAACACAGTTAGTTTGCTTATAGAAGCCTCTTGATATGCTCAGATTGCCAGAAGACCAATACTTGGAGAACTCTGTGCAGTGGCTTGTTACTGTGCTGTGCTGGCTTAGGATTTGAGCTGTTATTTAAAAAAAAAAAAAAAAAAACAAAACAAAAAAAAAACCTAAAAAAAAAAAGTTAAATTTTTGTTGATGTGTTTCCTGCCTCCCACTCACTGTGTTTCAGGAAATCTTCAGAAGAACTGGACATGGATAAAGTAACAGCAGCCATGGTACTCACCAGTTTATCCACCAGCCCTTTGGTCCGCAGCCCTCCTGTCCGACCCAATGGTAAGCCTTTGGAGCCAGGCGCTGCGGGAAGGGGTGCCAGGGCCCTTTATCGGGGGGCTTGTTTCCAGGAGTTGTGGCCATGGTGGAGAACAAATGGTGAGTGGCTGTCTTCTGGTCTGTTGGGGATCATACTGAGCTTTGCTCCAACCTATCCTTTGCCAAAGTCTTTGGTGCAGCACTGGCAGAAATGAAAAGAAACATTTTCTTTAACTGTAGAGCAGTTCTAGTTTATGAAATGGGAGATGCCCATTCCATAAATGGGATATGAGCACTTCAAAAAGTCTCTTGACATCACTGAAACACTTAATTTTTCAAAGCGTTTGTTTGCATTTGCACACATACAGTTAGGATTGGGAAAGACCTCTGAGATCACCAAGTCCAGCCATCAACCTGGCACCACCTCCATGTTCTCCTCTAAACCATGTCCTGAGTGCCACATCCAGGAAACATGATAGCAGCTGTTCTTCATCTCCATGGAAATGAGATCAGATTTTACCCAAAGCCACGATAAGGCAAAGCACTTCCACATCACAGCCCTTGGCTGAGAGGCCGTGCAGTAGCAATCTGCACAGCAAGCAGTCTGCTTCTCTCTGCACCTCCAGTTTCTGTGCTGTGTGTAACTCTCTGGTGGTCTTCCATCAGTTCCATAATCTGTTTAAAGATTACTTCATTCATGGTATGGCAGAAGACACGCAAATAAAAACACATGTGAAAAGTTTCAGGTAATTAAGAGATCAATTATGAAATATAATTGATCTACATAAGATTGACTGGAGTTACAATAATTTTTTAGGAGTGTTTTATTTTAAGGAATAATTTAAATTAGGATACCCTTGTTAGGTTACCTCAGCATTGTTTGTATGACTGACTTTTCTTACTCACTTGTAACTGCTAAAATTACCACTAAATGATCTCCTACTGTCACTAATTGGAACATTGAGAAGTACTTGTTTTCTTCATGCAAACAGGCATGATCCACTGAATGATGTCCTTAAAGGAATTCATAGCAAATGCCAATGCTGTGGTTTTTCCATTTATTTTCAGAAAATGTAAGTTTTTTCCATTTAGTTGGAATTCTGGCCGTGAACACCCATGGCCTTTGTTCATGTGCTTTCCAGTGTTGAAAGCCAGAAGTGTTTATTGGAGTGCCACTGCTCTGAGGAGCCCTGGGAAACCTCAGGCAATGACATCCCTGGTGACTGTCACACCTCAGGACAGGATGTTGCCAGCCCCTGGGAAAGGCCAGCAGAAGGGTAAAAGCACACCTGCTCTCCAGCTGCTCAGCTCACAGACAAAGCCACAGCTGCAGATGGATCTGTGCTTGATGTGGCAGGCAGGGATTTGGTGTGGCCAAGGCATACACATGTCCCCTGCTGCATCCTTGTCCTGGGGAGCTGCTCTGCTGTGGGTGAAGCAGTGTCTGCCACCTTAGACAATCTGAGCAGGTGACACTTGTCAGGAGCAGCAGTGCACATTAGCTGCAGCTGTGTATTGGAAAGAACTTCCAAACAAGCCCTTTTGAATTGCTAATAGGCAAATGGTGGCTGTTTAACTGCCTTTGATATTTCTCAGCATAGTCTGAGTGCTCTTTGATATTTCTTCATATAGCTTGTCTGCTTGTTTCCCAAAATCTGGGTAGACTAGCCTGAAAATGTAATTCACATGTTTTCAATAGTCACAGACAAGATCTTGAAGCTGGTTTTGGGGACCTTCTCCCTGAATATCTTAGTTTTGCCTTAGTCAAGGCTTACTAAAGACTTGAATAGAAGTGTAAAGACTGGATAATTTAAAGCTTATTTGGTATTACAAGGCTAGGCTCTGATCCTAGTAATACAAGCAACATATGTATTAGTGATTAGTTTTTTCTACATGCTTTTCCAAAAAAGGGAAATAAGTAGCAGTATAATTAAAGGACCATTTGTTAAAACAAATGGAATTTTGCCTAGAACTAAAAAAAAAAAAAAAAACATTAGCGTTAGTATTAAAGTCAGATCCGTGCTGGAATTCCTGGGAATGATCACCCATGTAAACTGGATCAGAGTTTGGCCATTGTTTCTCTGCAGTTGAATAATATTTGGTCTGGTTCTCTTTCACGCAACTCCAGCAGTGTGAAAAGAGCCCCAAAATAAGAGTAAGTTGCATTTATTTATATATTAAACTTCTTTACATTAACAGATTTGTTAGTATGAATGAGAACCAGTGTTTGGTTTTTCCCTGTTGTTAACCTCATTCAGTCTTTTCCATGCTACTTAAAAAATGCTCTTGATTTACATCTCTTTCTCAGCAAGGTGAGGAGAAGCTGTACACACTGAGAATACAAATAACGTCATAACTGTTTCACAAAGTAGTAGTTGAAAGAGTGTTCCTTTGTTTTTCTGAAGACATGAAAATTTTAAGCTATGCTAAGGTCACAAGTTGATACCAGATGTAATTTTTGGCTTTGGCACAAGACTGAAGTACCAAATATATAAAAGAAACAAAACCCACCTTTATTACAGTCACATGAAGGTTGTAATCATGAGACAAAACATGACATTTTCATATGTTAACTTCGGAGCTGCCAGAGTATGTATGTTTGTCCTTTTCCAAAGAGGAATTGGGTAGGCTGGAGGGAGAGGATCAATTCCATTTATGCTGTGTGGTCCTGATCAGTAAATCAGTACTACTGTAGCAGCTGCCTACTCAAGGGGGCACTGTGTTCTGTTTTTTTGGGCAGCTGATGTTAGTCATTAAGGATTTTGTCCAAAACCAACTCAATTAGGAGAAAAAAAACCAAAAATTCACTGGTTTGGGGGTAAGCTTTTGATAGCTAACTTTCTTGCCAATATCATTAGTTAAATTTATCTGTAAGAAATTGAGAAGGAATGAAGGAGTGACTTCTGCAGATCTTTTCAAGACAGGCACTGGCTTGAAAGGACTTGTCTCTCGCTTAAATACTGTTTCATTAACAGATAAGATGTTATTTACTTGCCAGCTCCAAAGTCAGGTGTTGCACAATACTCAGGCACCTACAGTGTCATTGGGAAAAGCTTCCAATGCCTGAGCTAGGGAGAAGCTGCACCTAAACCGTCCCTGCGCATTTGCCCAAGCCCTGTGAGAACCTGCGGGCTCAGACAGAGCTGCCTGTGGCTGCACCTGGATGTGCTCAGCCATGCCTCCACTGAGCTGATGACCTGCATACTCCTCTGCTGCCAGCAGCCCTTTAGGGACAGCGAGAGTGACATGCAGGTGTCTAAAGCCTGAGGACCTCTGCTGTGAAGCGTGGCTCAAGCTGTGCCTCAGACTGCACAGGCAGTGCTGTTCCTCCCACCCATGGTGCTGTTAGTTCCAGTGTCTTCTTCCCATGTAATGGATGGGGAACTGTGGCACTGAGGAGGCAGTTTCTCCAGTGGGTGAGTGTGGGGGTGATCCATTGTCTGTGTGTTCCACTTCTGAAACCAGATGCCTGCACACCTGTATATGCCAAGGGATACATACCACCTCATGTAGAGGTTCAGATTAGGCAGAGGCATGTCTATTGAGAGATTGTGAGAACACAGAGTATAACTATGGTTTTTTTTGATGTTTTAGTACTGGGAAGATGGTCATGTTTTTGTGGATCTGCTTAGTATTTTGGGGCTCAGAGTGTGTGTCCCTTTCCCAGGGGATCTCCTGTTGGCTGTACAGTGGCTTGGAGCTTGCTTTGGTGCTGCACCAGAGTCATGTGTTCTTGTTGAAAGTTGAGGATGTATTTAGAATCATAGAATAGTTTGGGTTTGCAGGGAGCTTTAAAGGTCAATTTAAATGTTTTCCTTAAATCATGTATGCAATATATGAGAGTTTATTGCTGTTCATGCTTCAGAACAGGTTATCTTTTCAAATGCAGCATTTCTTTTTAGAAAAATACTTTGCTGCTTTTGTTTGCTTGTTTGTTTTAAATAAAATAAAAATCAAGTGTATAATATGTAATTTGTGTGCAGTGGGTTAGATATGGTTGTCCTGGTTGTCCTCTCTACATCCAATGCTTTCACATTCCTTTACTGAATGTGCATTTAATTACCAACATGGCATCTAAACCTTAGAAAAAAGAGCTCCTTAGCTCTCTCACGATGATACTGTTGTAATAATAGCTTTTGTTGTTCTTGACAGAATCCCTGAATGGATCTTGGAAAGAAGGAGGATTTGTGCCTTCTAGTACCAGCAGCAGTGGATACTGGAGCTGGAATGCTCCCAGTGACCAGTCCAACCCATCCACCCCATCTCCACCTCTGTCAGCTGATAGCTTCAAAGCTTTTCGGACACCTTCCCAGCCAGATGATGGTATTGATGAAGGTGAAACAAGCAACCTTCTCTTCGATGAACCCATTCCTAGGAAGAGAAAGGTTAGCCTTATGTTAAATTCCAAATCCACAGGTAGACAGGACGTTGATAGGCTTATTTTGTTGTGAGAAAGGAGCAGGTCACCCAAATGGCTCCGCTTGTGTATCCTTCCTTGGCATGCATTTAACATAGGGACTTCATGTAGTCACTGTGTCTCATTCAATGTGGTCACCTCCTGCACATACATGCTGCCATGAGCACCACATATTTCCTGCCAGATGGTGAGGTGCTACAGAACCTCCTGCTCAGAAAACACTAGAGGGATTTCCAGAAGGTGTTGCCTCTGGCCATTCAAGAGTTTTCTGTCCTACTTTCTCTGTGTGCAGGATGCAACAGGCAACCTTTACATGTCATCACAAAAACTGACTATGGCCTTAATACTCCTTGTTCCCTGAAAGTGCTGTGTGTCTGACAGCATGTCAGATACCTTAATACTGTGAAGGTTTCTCTGCACAAACATATGGAGTGAAAATGGAGAGAGAGAGCTCAAACCCGATGGCTTTTGATATAGTATTAGCATTAGCCCAATTTATCCTCAGTTGGAGTGCAAAAGCAGGCTAAATAAAACATGACATTAGAAAAAAGGTCCAAAACTAACCCCAAAAAAGCACTGTTGCAACCCAGCAAGCTTCTCTGGAAGAAAAAGAAAACAAAGAGATGGCACTAGTCCAAGTTTTCTTCCCTCCCAACAGAACAGGACAGATTTTACATAGCAAGATATAAAAGGGCTTTTTGTAAGGAGAAAAAATAGAGAATTTATTCCCTTAGTGAATTTGTTTCTGGCTCAGTCTGGGACAGTTAATTGCTTCATCACCAACAGGAATAAGTTTTAATGATTGTTTAAACCTGTTCAGTTTTATCCTCTTGCTCCAGAAGCTGCTTATTTGATGACCCATGCAATTGTTGCCTTGTTCATGGGAAAGGGGTGAAAATGTTTGTGCATCTTGCTAAGAACGAAAAAAGTATTTTGGAGGACACCTTTGTTATAATAAATTAGAAGTTGGAGCTAAGTAACAGAGAGACAATTTGGGGGGTGTGAGGCAGGAGGAGTAGGAGTGCAGAAGTGTCCTGGTTTGCCTTTTACTTCTCAGGTAACCTTCATCTTTTTAGCACCACTCTTACTGCTCAGCTGTGATGAGACAGATGGGTTTGCAGCTGCCGTCTTTATTGTTCTCTGAGTTGCTTTCAAATATTTCTATTTATGTACTCACCATAGATCTATTACACTATCTGTTCTGGTTCACAAGGATTTGGCTTTGTATGACAAATGTTTTATTTAGATAAACAGTAACATTCCATGTCAAACTTGTTTTTATAAATGAACTTGCTTTCCTGCAGGTTTTTTCCTTTATTCTGGTTCCAGCATGGTATTTGATCTGAGTACGAGTTAGGACCTTTAGAAGCTGAAACAAAAATGTTCAGGTTATTTCTTCTTCAGGGTGCAAAAGTCAGGAGGAGTAAACCTGGAAATAGAGTGATTGATAACCTTACTATTTGCTTAAAAGTTTCCTCTAAGGTAGTTATTCCTCACCAAACCATTATTTTCTTAAATAAAACATTAAACCTGAATAGATAATTTTTGGAAAGGAAACGGAAGAAATGTAAGCATATTCTTTATTTCTACTGAGTGAGCTTTCACTTGATTATGTTAAAAGTGCATGGGTTTTTGCAAACTCCTACCAGTGACAATAAATCCAAAACCACAGTGGAGCTAAGGAGACTGATTTTACCATCAAACTGGGGATGGATGTTAAACTATTCTGTGTTCATAAAGATGCATATGGTGTTTATGATGTCATATTGGAATTCCTAGGATGTCAGTTATAAACATGGCCTTCATCTTGTTGACAGAGTTGGTGGTTGGTTGTGTAGTTTTGAGCTGATAATAGTATTTAGTATTATATTATGGAAGTAAGAAAAGTATTAATTAGAATTGCTAGATAGATTATATTTAATTTGAGAAAAGAAAGAGTTCTGTATCTGCTTGACTGAGAGTTGTATTATCAAATAAAAACCAGGCAATTTATGTCCAATTTATTACAAACAGAAGTTTTTCAAACAACCAGTATGATCAGGTACCTCAAATCTCAAAGCCCTAGGCATACATACTTTAAAACAGGAGATGTTAGACTGCAGGGAACTATGAGAACATGCTGCCACAATCAACTTGTATTTTAAAAAGCCCATCCACTGAGATTCTTTTTTAAGTTGTATTCTGATCATCATCTTTCTAGCAAATGCTGAAACCATCTACTGGCATGCAGTTCCAAAGGGTCCAAATTGAAGAAAGCACCAAGTTAGCTTTTGTTCAAGGCACAGTGAAATGTACTTAACCCTAAGGATGTGCTTGTTCTCCCCTTTTTTTTTAAATTGAGTTTTATATGAATATATTAATTTAATCTTATATGTAACAGAAATTTTATAATAACAATACAGTGTTTTGATGCTCTTCCTCATGTTAAGAATGTGTTCTGTAATAATAGAGAAAATTGTTTTTAAGAATTACAAGCTATTTAGAATTCTTTTTTTAATTTAAACTGTATAAAATCAGTTTCATTTTGGGGTAAAATTAGCTTTTAAATATCTCTCAAGTTTGTAACATCTGTGTTGTTTTAAGACTGCTTTTCTCCAGAGTCTTCAAAATATTGGAAGATTGGCCTTGTAATAGCCTTGTTGGCTGTGCTCTAAATCAATGATATCTCATTGGGGATCAATGAAATTATAGTAAAGAATATTTAAATGAGATTATACCTGTATTTTTAAAATATTGAACACAGACTGTTAACTTCTCATTCTCTTATCTGAGTAAGGTCCACAGCAGTTTCTGAGCGAAACAAAAGCAGGTTATGCCAGCTCATGGCGAATATGGACATAAGAGAAGCTATGTTTTTCTGGCACAATATTTTTTATGCTGCACATATCATGAGCAGAAACATTCATAAGAGCTTGCTTTGGAAAGACCTTAATTTAAGAAGGTGCCTTGGATTAAGTAAGAAGTCCTCATCAGGGTTTTTTTGAAAGAAGTATAGGAAGGTTTTATGTCATATACCTCCCTTAGTGGAGGAGCTGAAACTTAAAAATGGAAAAGTGTTGCCAATAAACAGAGGGAAGTAAAGTTCTGTCACAAGTTGTTCCTGCAGCTTTTCACTGGATTCTCTTGAATTCAGTGGGGTGACACATTTGACAAGAGACTATTAGATCATTATGAGTTTGGAGTCAAAGGCTCTGAATCTTCACAGTGTTTTGTAACTGTTTGTCTGGTTTGGGTGGTTTGGGTAGTTTGGTGTTTTTTCTACCTTCATAGTATTACAGAGTCACAGAAATTTTCAGCCCTTAACCCAGCACTGCCAAGTCAGCATTAAACCATGTCCCCAGGCAGCACATCCTTAAATACCTCCAGGTACTTGGTGACTCAGCCATTTCTCTGGGCAACCTGTTCCACTGCTTGACAACCCTTTCAGGGAAATTTTTTTTTCTAATATCCCTACAATTTCCATACAGCTAATGTTGCTTTATTCATAATTTTCAGAACTCCATGAAGGTGATGTTCAAATGCCTGTGGAAGAACTGTGGGAAGGTGCTGAGCACAGCTGCAGGGATTCAGAAACACATACGGACCATTCACCTTGGGTAAGAGAGCAGTCTTTTTGGGAGTCTAAAGGATTTGGTGTAGAAAAGGAGCAGTTGCCCTTGGCTGGAGACATGAACTGGATTGTCCTTGGCTTCTCTGTCTCATATCGCTCTGTTTCTGAGAAAATTGCAGAATAATGCATCAAGGTGAATGAGCACTTATTCAAACAGTGAGGCACTTTCTTTCCTGAAATTCTGTCAGCTTTGCTAGAAGGTCAAATAGAGCTGGAGGTTACACTGCACTTCCCTGTCAGCTGCACAGCTCAGTGCCATTACATCATATGTGCTATCTGCACATCATGTCTGGGATGACACTCTGTGGTAGACAGGTTCAAGGTCTTGCATGAATACTTTTCAGCGTTTTGTTTCACATCAGGTCAGATGCTTGTGCTGGTTCTGAGTGGAATTAAGGCCAAAAAAATTATTAATGCAAAAAACCCCACCGAAACCACAAACCACATAAGAAACCTAAAAATAAAAGGAAACTGAGCTGCATGTTGTCATGGTTTAAAGTACCACAAGGTTGTTCACTCACTATCCCCTCCCTTCCCTGGAAGAATCAAAAGAATAAACAGTAAATCTCAGGGGTTGAGACAATAATAGTTTAATGGCTTAAACAAAATAAAACATTGGTGATCATAATAACAGTAAATACTAACGACTCTAATACTTCTAAGGAAAGGGGAGAGAGAGAGAAACAAGACTGAAGAGAAACGAGTGATGCACATTACAGTTTCTCACCACCTGCTGACCAATGCCCAGCCTGTCCCCAAGTAGTGATCAGCACATCCCAGCTAGCTCCCTCCAGTGAATTTACTGAACATGGCATCCTATGGTATGGAATATCCCTTTGTCCTGGCTGTGCTTCCTCCCAGCCTTTGATGCTCCTGTTCACTGGCAGAGCATGGGAAACAGAAAAGTTCTTGATGTAGAGTAAGCACTACTCAGCATCAACTAAAACATCAGTGTGTTATCAGCACTCTTCTCATCCTAAATCCAAAAGACATCTCTGGGCCACCTTCTTGGAAGAAAATTAACTCCAGGCCAGACAAAACCAGGACACACATGTATGTTACTTGGACTAGAAGCAAAAGCAAATTGATCTTTTAGGAGACAAGTTTGTTTCAGAGCCGTAGTTTGCAACCAAACTCTCCCGTGTAATTCACTGAGTGATGTACCTGTCTTATTTATAATTACAGTTGGGACCCACGGTCTGTACCTGTTAGGTATAATACATAAATACATCTCTGTTCTGTAGGTCTGTGTTACCCACAGCTTAAAAATTAAAGCCACCACAAGAAAGATCTGGAGCTCAGGATGGTCTTGAAGAGGTCAACAATTACTGTTTGGCTTAAGAGTATGGCTGTGGGAAGCAGAAAATCCCTCTCAAAATGCAGTTAGGAATGTTGATTTGTGCTTTATATTATGAGGACGTCCTCTTTGTGGTGTGGGAGAGGCAGAAATAAACAGCAGAACCTTTCTGGAATTTGCTGGAACAAGAAACTTCTGGAAAAAGTAGTTTTGGTGAAAATGACTGGCTACATTCTGATGGATGGTACTTCTGGTAGAGCCTTTCAAACCTGCTGGGCCTATGTTCTCTCAACGAGTTCTGGTTTAGACTTCAAGATAGCATGTAGTCTACTGGGAGCTACTGCTTTGACTGGGTTGCTTCACTGTTAGCACTTGTGCTCAAATGCACATCAGATGAAACTTTAAGGCAATTAAACCTCCTACATGCCCTCCTTCAATAAGTGTGTCTCTGGAGAGCAGAACCAGAAAGTCCTGGCCATGGCAAGCCAGCCCATATGAGTGCTTCCTCTGTGTCAGAGTGGGTTGCATGGTGAGACTGTTTTCTAGCAAATTCTTCCGTTATGTTACAGAAAGTTACAGTGAATGGCAGCTGTAAGTATATTTGATATAATTAAGTAACTTCTGATAAGATTGCCTATTGTTTGCTGTAACATGAGTGAAGTATATCTTGCCTGTGTCTGTTATCTTTGCTGTGACCTTCAAAGACAGAGTGCATTGAGATTCTTGTTAACTTTACAATAGTTACGAATGAGAAGCTGATACTTGATCTCAGAGAGTCAAACATCTACTCCAAGGTGAAAGAGTTGGTCAAGAATAACACAGAGAGGGGAAAAAAGTAATTCCTACTTCTTTTCCCTTCAGATTAGATGATTTTCCTCTTCCCCTTACCTGCAGTCAGAATGCAGATAAAGTAGGAAGGGTTGAAACTGCAAATATTAATTTATTGACAATATTAATATATTCACTCATGCATCTAGAACTTAAAATTTATCTCGAGGTTCTTGCTTTCAATCAATTCTTACTTCTTTCTCTTGATACAGACGTGTAGGAGAGTCTGACTACAGTGATGGAGAGGAGGATTTTTACTATACAGAAATCAGGCTCAACACGGACTCAGTAGCTGATGGCTTAAGCAGTCTTTCCCCAGTGTCTCCATCTTTAGCATCTCCTCCTTCCTTTCCCACCCAAGACACAATCCGTCCTGAAACTTCCTGTGCCAAAACCGAGACTAAAGTGATGACACCTCTGAGCCGGTCAGCTCCTACCAACCTCTACCTCGTACACACGGACCATGCTTACCAGGTAACACCAGTGGTGTGAGCTCCAGTGATTACACTAATCTCACTAATGTTTAAAGAAATGTCACATCACAATGTTTGGGTTTTAATGGGCTGAAAGGTTTTCAGACCAGGCAAAGGCATTTTTTTTATTTAAGCTGAGATGTGTTCTTCTGAACTCATTGTTTGTTTACATGCCTGCCACAGATGGTGGACTTTGGGGTGCTGTTTATCCAGCCACACATAGGTGCATACTTCAGGTTGAGAAGAGTTGATCTGTGTATCCCACTGCCTAGATCAGTTCAGTTTTCACTGACCATAAGGAGAACCCTAGGTGATATGCTCAGATGGGGTTTCCTGCATTGTAAAAATTCCCATCCAGTCAGCTGAATCCCTCCCAGAGTCTTCATGTCAGCTTTGTTTTTGTTGAATAAGTACAAGCTCTGCTTGAAGTGTCAACAAGTACCCAAAGGATGCCAGGAACAATTAATTTCCTGTTTTTGTACAGTGTGAGATGTTAGTTTGCAGTTGTAAAGTAGAATAGGAAGAGCGAAAAAGCAAATATGGTACCTTCCTATTTTTGGAGGTGATGCTTTTCAAATGGCAGAAACTGCTGTCCTAGAACATTCCAGCTAAGTTTTGACAGAAAGCTTTAATTATAAAGCTGCATTAAAACTTGACATGTTTTGGTCTGGATACCATAAGATAAAAGAGGAATAGAGGCTTTGAAGTAGTGTGGTCCATGACCTGCATATGCACTGGAGAACTGAACTTTGTTAAATTTCTCAGATTCAATAAATATCATATGTAGCATTGTGCAGATAAAACTTTTGTGGTGTGTTTGGAGCACACCTACTAAAAGGTCAGAAGGAACTGTAGAGAATTCACAGGCTTGTTTTCGACTTTTGTGCTTGTTAAAAAGCATGGGTGGAAGCTTGGCATTGCAGGTGGAAGCTGCATCAGGTAGCATGCCAACCTGGGGACTGATGAAACCAGCTAAGAGAAGACTTCTTCGCAGTGTAGCTTAAGCCCCGCCTCAGAGTGTGAGGCAACAAGTCTAGATTGATGTCAAGTTTTGCTTCATTTGGGACTTGCAGTCATGACAGTCTGCCCTGCTGTTGGAGACCCACTCAGCTCTTTTTTACAAGCAGCCTCTGAGTAAAGCACTTGGCTAAGGAAATCCTAATTCAAGTGTTTAAAGTCCTTGAATTGGATTTGAATCGATGTATTGCATGACACAAGACTACAAGTGCCTGACCGCCATGGGCTTTTCAGGTTGTTCTGGTTTCAATGCTTAATTTCATCAGTGAGTGACACAGTCCACACTGTTCACAGTGTGCTAATTGGAACCAGGAAGCAAGGTCCCTGCTCAAGCATTCAGGCTGTCCTGGCAAAGGAAGCAGCTTCCGTAGAGAAGGTCAGTGGCATCCTCTGCCAAGATCCCTTCCGCCCTGAAAGAAGGGCCAGGAGGCAGGGTGGAGATGCAGATCTCACCAGCCAGAGGAGAAAGTGGAGATTACTTCATTGGGAGCAGCTCAAGGAACTTGCATAAGGGAGGCTGAATATTGTTCATCACAGGATTCCTGTTAAAAAAAAAAGGGGGAAAAATACAGAACTCAAAGTTCAGTCGCAAGAATCCTAAAGAAATCTGATAATTGCCATTTCCTCTATGACTGGAAAACTTCAAATAGACTACTTGTAGTGAGAAAGGTATGAGGAAACTGAGGAAAGTCCTGATGCTCTTCCCTGACCCCATCCTATGGGTGAGAAATTATTTAGAAAAATAATTGAAGAAATTCAGGAAAGTACAGCAGTTGAGGCAAACTGCACTGGGGGAGTCCCAGAGAAAGATGATGCTATAACAATACAGGAAGCAAAAGAACAAATCCCTCTGGATTCAAGGAGAGCATTTGATCTTAAAACATATAGGTAGTATTTGTTAAGCAAGAGATTAAATTTAGTGTAGGAGAAGGAGCTGGAAAGTCACAGAGAACAGCAGTGAGTTATTTTGAAAGGGTCTCTGAATGTCATTAGTGGAGTTAAATGAAAAGCTGTTCTTGGCCCTGATCTCACTTTCATTAAATCATTTTGGTAATACACCAATACTATAATAAACTTCACTGATAACAAATTTGGGAGACATCAGCAGTAAGGAAGTTATATATCAGGCTTACGTGACTAGGTGATCTTAAGAATAATAGGTTTTGGATGCAGTTTAATGTCAGAACATGTGAAGTCCTGCATCTAAGGAACTAATGAGATTTTTCTGCTATAAACTAGGGTAGTTAGAAAATTATGTAAGAAGGAAACCTATGTTCATTAATCAAGCACAGAATGACTGTGAGCCAACAATAACAGAGCTGTGAAGGGGGAAAACAATAGTTGTCAGCTCTCTTGGATAAGAAATACCTAGGAGAGAGAGGGGTTTTTGATGCCATTATACAAGGCCCCCATATAACTTGAGCTGAAATCCTGAGTTAGAATTCTGGTCAGCCAAATTTGATGTGATGGGCTCCAACCAGAAGAAGTAGAAGGAGGACATAGAGGGCATGGGTGGCCTCTCCAGTCCTGGGACTGATACCTCAGGCAAAGCAAGGGACAAGAAGAGGATGGAATTGCTGCCTGGGAAGAAAGTGAAAGGACAGGCATGAGAGGGGAAGAGGGTGAGCATGGGCTATTTCAGATATAAGGGTAATGTTGGCACAAATAAATGCAATTTGTTCATTAATATATCTTGATTGGCAATTAGCTGGAGGTCTCTAAGCAATTAAAGTTGGGGTATAGAAATTCTTCAGTTGGTTGTAATGTTGTAGTTGCTTACGTTATGGAAGAGATGGACTAAAATGTTAGCCTGAAAAAGCAGACTGTGCTTGATGAGCAAAGATGCACATCTGGGAAACAAGTGAACAAGGTGATTGTCTGTCTAAGTCTGATCATGTCTGAGGTAGATATTCAGGCACTGAGAAAAAGGAATTGAGCACTAGAGTATTTTAAGCAACTGCCAATTGCGTCAGTTTTAAACTTCATGTTTCTTTACAAAACTATTGCCTGTACCAGTTAAATTTAACTAGAGGAGCTACAGGCAGGCTCTTTCAGCACCTAGGATTTCCCTTCCAGGTCTTTCTCAAATACCTGAGGAAGTTACTGAGCTGACCCTGGGTCTGAGCTGCCATCCTTGTGGGATGCTGGGCAAAGGCAGTGCTGCCTCACTGCTCATCCAGCTCTCTCCAGTTATTTTTGTCTGGAGCTCTGTGGTCATTCACTCCTCATTTGACCAACTACTGGTACAATTTGAAGTTGCCAAATTGTTCTTGACACCTTTCAGAGAGGTTTTTGTATTTTATGGAGCTCAGTGGATGTTTGCTCTGCATGTCTGTGTGGATTTTCTTGGAGCTGTCAGCAGCTTGGCAGCCCAGAGAGCATCGCTGTCATACACAGAGGCATCTGGTGGTCTCACCTTCCTTTTCCTGGAAAGGCTGTAGGGGATTGCTTCAGCCCTTGTTTACTTGTAAGATTATCTTTAATGGGGACTATCAGGTTGTAGTTTGTCATCACTTCTCTCTGCCTGGTGGCTCAAGGAAGCACTCTCTTCCTGAACCAGTGAGACAATTTCAGCAGCCCCAAATACAAACACTTCTTAAATGAGTGTATTGTGTTATTGTCACATACCATCAACTGAAAGGCAGAAGTGAAAACTCATTTTAGCAAATTCTTTGTAAGTTTAAACCAAGGAGGGTTCTTTTTTGTGGTGACAGCCTGAAATTCAAGGGTCAAAGTGAGCCTTTGTTCATGCTGGCTGCTCACGCTCCTGCTAGGCAGGGTAGCTACACAACTATGAATTTCATGATTCTGAAAATTAAATGGGATTAAAAAAGAGGGAAAAAAAAATTCATGGAAATTCATAACCCAGTGAGAAAACCAAAGGAAAAGCACAAGATGAAAAATGCTCAACAATCTAAGCTCAGGCTATCACCCTTGTACCCCAGAGCAGCACTGGGTATTACAGCCTGGATGGGAACAACATGGGAGTTCAGTGAGCCCAAATACTTGCTTCAGTTTAGTATTTCAGGATCTGTTTTTTGAGTCCAAAGGATGATTTACAGAGCCTTGTTCTTAATAGGAAAAACTTTTAGTTGGGATGACTCTAAACATTTTTATGATAAATGAGAAATGACCAACACTTACTGTTAATCTCTTCCATCCAAGAAGCTTTGCAATCCACACTAAAATTGTGTAAAACAACTGCCATGAGTTTAAGTATGGCCCTGATTATCACTGTGGAACAGGTGGTCATCTGTGAGGTAGTTTTTGCTTCTTGCTGGCATTATTTTAAGTTACTTGTATGTGACGTTTGATTTTGTCTGTTTTTATAACAGATCTAGCTCTTAAAAGTTTTCTATGGATTCTTTTGAGAGCAATCATCTTTCTCTAAACAAGGTTCAGGAACAGTGGTGTATATATATAGCTCTGTCCCTTCCTTACTAGCTTATCCATGATTATCCCTCTCACAAGGGTAAAATGCTTGTCACCATGGAGTTTTTTTATGCCTTGGAAAATCTCTCACATATTTACCATATTTACCTTTGGAAGAGGAATGGTTCTTCTTGCTGGAATAATACTTTCTTTTCCCACAGGCCACTCCTCCGGTGAACATTCCAGGGTCAGCAAAGTTCACTCCCAATGGCAGTAGCTTTAGCATCTCTTGGCAGTCGCCTCCAGTTACCTTCACCGGCATTCCAGTAAGTGCACATCAAAAAAGGAAAGAAAGAGAGAAAAAAGGTTTTTTAGATCTTTTTGGTTTGTTTCACAGTGTGTAATAATGGAATTAAATGTGACACAGTAGATACCAAAAATAAACAAATTAAACATGTGCCTGAGTTTGCCAGCATGCCTGTTTTTAACACCTTTGTAACTCTCTTTATCAATGCAGTTAGGTTATTTTTGCATCAATGTCTACAAGCAGACCATTGAATCTATAGTATCTATAGTATTTATATATATATTTTTAACTATATGCTTACAAAAGAACATTCTGGTAGGTGCAGAGCTTGGCACTATGTCCTTCTTTTTTGTGCCACTAAGAGATTTCTTTAAAAAGTAGATGGAAAATCAGCCTGGTGATGGTTATGCTAACAGGCCAGTTGGATTCAGGCAGTGGGGCTATTACCTAAATGAACTCTGAAGGTGAAGCATTTTTGAAAGGCAGCTGAAAGAAACAATTAAATTAAATGCAAAGTCCTATTTTAGGAGGCTACAAGTATGTAGCCCCTACTAATAGCAGAAAAATGTTGTTTTATACAGAAAATATGTTCAGTATCTACTGCATTTTGTTATTAATAAATATTGCAGTTTGATAGCTTTTTAATGAGGATGTATTCGATGGAAATTCAACACTGACCTTTCTTCAAAAAAGCTGGCATACGAGGCCTAATTCTATGAAGAGTGATGCTAAAATCCTAAGGCATCAACAGGACTGCAGAAATGTGATATTTGCTTAAACACAGAATTGCAATGATTCTAAACGTGTATTACACCACAGTGTAGGTGTGGTACTGTGGGGGGAGTGAAAAACCTTCATGAAGAGTTGCAAGGGATTCTGCTTGTAGTGTCTGCTGTGGAGACTGCTGAAAGTAAATGCAAATCACTGTTTATGAGTAATGGGAAATCTTCTCTATGATTAATATAAATAAATATTAATGTAAAGTATCTTCATTTATTGGAAAGCACTGTTCTCATGATAAATTGATATTCTCTAATCATAAACCTTTTTGGTATCATAACATCTCATTTAATATTACACTTCATGAATTTATGAATTTTTAAAGTGTGTTATATAAGGCACACTGCTCATCCAAAGAACCATATAGCTTTTTTTCTCCTGACAGTGAATATTAGACAAGGCGATAAGAGATACTATTTCCCTCCCTTCTCTTCACCAAGTGAATCTCCAAAGCTTCTTACTGTCAACCTTTGGCAAATCTTGGAGATTTTCTGCAGAGGCTGTGGCATCCTGCAGAGCTGATAAAAATGAAAGTGACTGAATCAATTACACTGCACTCTGCCAATGAATATTTATTAAATTCCATCAAGGAACAACTAACAGTGAAAGACATCATGCTGGCAGCAATTTCAACAAGAGTGCCTTGACAGAGTGTGCTATCCACAGAGTTCCCTGAGAATTTGATTTCCCAACAATGGGGTTGATACGGAGTAATTATGAAACTGGCTCCTTTTGTGAAGTAGCGAAAACTGGTGCCAGGAGTGTTGGGAATCTAAAAATGCAATTAGTCACATTGTAAATCAGACATTTAAGAGGGCAGGATTAGACATGTATGCACCGAGTTTCCTTGTTCAGGCAACAACGCTGATCTGTGCCTGTAGAGTGGAGAGTTCTCAATAGAATTTAAGAAATGCTAAATCACTTTCAGAGAATTCAATGGAGATGGCAATGATTTAAGTACAATTTGAAAGTAATCCCAATACAAAAACTGGGGGAAGCAGTGATGCAGAATTATAAACTGCTCAGGGAGCCGTTTGAACTGCCATTATAGCTCTAACAACATTTATAAGGCTGTTTAACAAAGAAAAAAAATAATTATAAGAAAAAAATCTTCCAGGTTTGCACACATTTGGCTACTTTGTCATCAGTGTGATCATTTATGAATTAAAAGATTTGCCTGCAGTGAAAAATTATGTGCAATAAGTGACGGTACAAATGCAAATTTATGTTAAATATCTGTATATTAAATATAAGTTTTATTTCTCTTTCAAAGTAAATTAGATATTGCTTTACAAAATCAGGGGTCTGGCAATTCCCACCCTTACACTGAGTGTAGGTACTTCACCTGCATTCAGACTTCCTTCTTCTCTAATGGGGTATATTTAAGGCCAGACTATGTGAGAGAGCCAGGATAACAAACTCACACAGTTGTGATATACATGGTCCCTGAGATGAGACACAAATCTGTAGAACCCAAGGGAATCTCAGAGAGTAAGTCCAAACCATGACTTTTTGCCTGACGCTTAATACTGAAGCAAGCAGTGTTCTAAAATGGCTTTGGAATACTTTCCTGGCCTGGACAAACCACTGAACAGGAAAAGATTAGGTACAGATTTGAAAAAGTGCATAGGTCTACATATTTTAATATAGTCTTCTTTCACTTTTTTTTTTGACACATACCATTTCCCCCTTTCATTCCTGTGGACATTGAATTTCAATGACATTGAGCACTTCCTGCTTTCTCTCCTGGGAACTGGGGTGTTCAAAAACCAGGAGCTGCATTAAGTCCTTGTTTTCAGAAAGTCTTTAGCAGAGCAGCACTGAAAGGCCTTTGTGAGTATGGGTGTACTTACCAGCAAGTAACTGAGCACTTCAAAAGCACCCATACATGCTGCCGGGTCAGTTGGGCTCAGTATGTGGCTGCTCTAGGCTCAGGAGTGTTCACAGTATCTAAACACAGGCATTTATTTAGATGTCTTGTAGCCATAAAGGAGGAGAAGTGGCCAAGGTCGCTTGGTCTGTTCATCCTGGAGAAGAGGAGACTGAGGGGAGACCTCATTTCAGTTTAGAGCTTCCTTGTGCGGGGAAGAGGAGGGGCAGGTACTGATCTCTACTCTGTGGTGACCAGGGACAGGACCCGAGGGAATGGCTTGAAGTTGTGTCAAAGGAGGTTTAGGTTGGTTATTAGAAAAAGATTCTTCCCGCAGAGGGCGTTTGGGCACTGGAACGGGCTCCCCAGGAAAGTGGTCACAGCACCACCAGAGTCCAAGAAGTGTTTAGGCAGTGCTGTCAGGCACATGGTGTGATTCTTGGGGATGTTCTGTGCAGGGCCAGGAGTTGGACTCGATGATCCTTGTGGGTCCCTTCCATCTGAGGTTATTCTGTGGTTCTGTAATTAGGGGAACCTCCAAAGCCCTTTGTGCTCTGAATCATGCATAGGTTAGATCCCAAGGCTGATGGGAAATACACTTTTTCATACCATTTTTCTAAGACAACTTTGCAGGTGAAAGGTTGAATGTTGGAACAGTTATGAGCCATGGTGAGGTGTTGTTCTTTGCTGAAGCAAAAAGGACAGACTGATTGTTCTACCAGTTGAGGCTGAGAATAAATCAGCCACACCCTAGGGATGCATGAGGAGAGTGAATTAAATTATGCAAATGGAATGAGCCACAGTGAAGTCCATATGTCTTGGTACTGGAGGACTTAACATAATGACCATGTACTTCCACTTCTATGTAATGTATGATAAAAGTCTTCCTGAATGTCAGTATCATCTCCAGCATCTGATACTTACATGTGCCTGCTATATGACCCAAAAAGGTTGAACAGGCAAGATCTTTGATAATCTGATGTTTACAGATCACAAATCTTCTCTCAAACCACAGTTCCCCCCCAGGAGTTGTAACTGGAAACTCCAGGTCCTTGCTTCAAACAAACAGCGTTATTTCACTCTGCATTAGCCAGCACTTCAGACACGAAAAGCCTCCAAGGGCAAGGATTGCCTTCTCAGGGCTTGCTCTTAATCTGCTCTTAGTGTTCCCTATAGAGAGCAGCTGACTGCTATTGTTTAGACCTGCAGCAAAGCCTATCAAAGTACACTAAAGCTCAGCTTCAGTGCTGTGTGGCTGCCTTGGTGTGCCAGTCTGTGGAACCATCGTGCAGGGACCCTCTCAGGAGAGTGCAAAGGAGGAGTCTGAGTGCTGTAATTACTGCTCCAGCCAGATCTCTGTTTGGAAGTAAGCAAGATAATTGCTTATAACATAGGAGGCCATCCAAGTACTCTTCTGTTCAATGACAAGCAGCTAGTATATTGAGTGTCAGTTACTAGTGGTAGACATAGAATAATGTCTAGTTTTTAAAATGTTTCTGAACCCTAGCACAATGAGTGGAGATCTCTGGTTACTGGTAATGACTGGAAGACTGTACCATACCTGACTGACCAGACTGTGTCTGGTGAATGCCAAATACTACAAAAGTGCTATTGCTTTGCATTTTATCTTCAGTGTTTCAATGATTATTAGGTAAAACATGGAAAGTGGTTTATAAAAATTTGGAAAAAAGTAGCAGAGAACAAGCTGCCCTTAGTATTCTGGAGGGATAGAACAAAAGGAGCTAATGTGGTCTTTGGATGTAAAAAACATGATAAGCTGGCAGAGAGAGAAGAAATTTCTTCCAAGTTTTGCAGATATATTTTGTATATCAGTAACGGTCTAAGTTTGTTCAGTGTGAGCCACATACACAGTTTAAATCAAAAACCTCTCTTGCTACTAGCCAAGAGTAAAAGTTGAAAGAGTGTCTGCACTCAATTACAAGCATTAGTTTTTTGCTGCTATGGAGTAGCTTTAAAATAGACTTTGTATCAAAAATCAAAGCACATACAGAAATGCTCTTCAAGTGAGGTCAGTCAGTTCCCTCTCTTCCAGGTATTGTAGAGCTTGAAAAGGGCAGGAGGGAAAAGTCATAGCAGTGCAGAGAACTGTGACCATCCCTGCAGTTCAGCAGGAGGCTGACTGTGCACTAGATGCTACATTCAATATACAACAAAAAAAAAAGAGTGTTCAGAATTTTTTTCTGGTATTTTAGATGTAAAGTGATTGTGGCCTTCACACAGGAGCAAAATAAGACCATAGTAAAATAATTTAGGTATTATTTTAGGCCAAACTTTATGCCATGTGATCACTAGAATGATGTTGCCAAGCCCCATGCTCATGTAGGAGAATTTGGAAAGTCTCAGAAGACCAAAGTACACCCTTCCCTTGGAAATATTCACAGAGAGGGCACCCACTGAGAAGGTTTACTGTGCAGGGTAAGGAGATACATCTTGTTAGCAACTTTGATCAGAAGGGCTGCATTGTGCTCCCTGCCTGTTAAACCTCTAGGGGCCCCACTGTAAATGCTCTTCAAACCCTCTTCTCCAAGGGTGTCTCTCCACAAAGAGTGCCAAGTGACAGACGGGAGCAACAAGTTAAATTCCTTTATTTCATAGAAGATTATTGGTATTGATCTCACCACTGGACAGAGTTTATTTTTCCATTTATTTTCTTTGCTTAAATTGGAGAAGGTTTTCATAGGAGCTATTCAGAGTTTTTAAACAAGAATGAACGTGTTTCTTGTCTTTTCCAAAACCTTCAGTGATGCTCATCTGTGTTTTGGATTGCTCTAAGAGAATGACTGGAAATACAGGAAAACAAAGAGAAGCTAATGTAATGTACCTAATGATAAATTAACTTTTCACTTAATTATGTTTGTATGTTATTTAGTCACCTTTCCTGGGTATCCTTGCCACCATGCAGCATCATTTGCATTGTCTTGGAAAAAGTATTTATACTGCATTCACATGTGTATGTTCTTTGTAAGCAGCTTTTTTGTCTGTATTGACAGGTCTCACCAACCCATAATCGTCCTGCAGGGAGTGGAGAGCAGAAACAGTCCCACACAGTTCTTTCATCACCGCCTAGAGTAGCATTTGGCTTGAGGTATGGGACCATTAGCTCCTGCTGACACTACAGCCTCACAACTTGGAGGGTATTCAGTAAATAAGTTGTCAGTGGCCAGAGAATCAGAAAAAGCCCACCACCAACCCTGATTGCACTTGTCAGGCAGGTTCTTGCTAGAGCTCTTCAAAGTAAGCGTTCAGAACCTATTTTTCTTTTTGCTACCATCAAAGGTAAAGTTCAGCTGCACTGTCTGGCTTTGCACTTTTCCCTGAAAGTCTGGTCTGATGTGTTTATCACCATTCAGTCAGAATGGCATTTGGCTTTGAATGAACTATAAGAAACCCTGTATTACAATAAATTAGATTAAGGCAAAGCTTTTTATGCCTTGTCTTCCTAGACATAAGCTGCATTCATTACTGCTAAATTTAACTGATATTTGACCAGAATCTACTTTTAAAGTGTTCCAAAAGTTAGGTTAAAAAATCAAACTGTAATGCTAAATTTCTTACAGTAAAGCAACTCCTTATTTCTCATAGTTCTAAAGGTGACTGTACCCAAAAATGAGGCAAAAAGAAAATTTCATACTTTTCATTTTCTTCATGACTCTCAGATCATTGCATATGCTACAAACCAAACTTGGGATCTTCCCAGTTCATGGATTGTGCCCATTAATTAATATTCAGTAACCAGAAAATATGTGGGTATGCAAGAAAGGAATCCCATGTGTGCCATGCAACATATAAAAAAGGTATTAAACAGTTCTGTTGGTACAGTTACTTTATTTAAAGATTCTGGGACAGGTGGTATTGCAGTAGTGAATGTTGCATTGCTTGGTGAAGCATTGCTCCTCAGATTTGCTGTCTTGCTGTGTGTTGAATTAAAAAATCCATTTTAACAGTTACTTGGATCATTTTCTAAACTTGTGATCTTTCAAGCATGGTTGTAAGTTGGAAAACAGGACAATTGTTACAGCTTTAAAAGCAGGCGCTGCCCACCTTGCTGGCTTTGGGGACCACAGAGAAGGTGCACACAAGAATGTGCTGTGAGTGAGAGCAACTTCCCATTCACTTTGTTGTTTTTCAGTCAATGAGCTCAGAGCAAACTGCAGGAAGGACCAGCAAGGTTAGGAGCTGGTAGCTTTTACCTGCTTTGGCATAGCTGATACCTGTTGATGGTCGAGGTCTGCTGCTCTGAGCTATTCCAAATATTTTACCACAGCTCTGCAGCACTTTAGCCTGTGGAACAGCTATGACTGCCCATTACAGCTTGGCACTTCATGTGCCTAAAGTATAATTTACTAAGTCCAGGTTTAGTTGCTGGCTAAAGTCAGGGCAGTATGTTCCTGGGATCATCCCAGGAGCAGAGGAGCAGGCTCAGCAGCTGCTGCAGAAGCTGTGGGAGCCAGGCAAGGAGAAGGCCTGGTCCCTGAGAATGATGGAGTCATGACCATACATGTGTCTGTCACTTCATCAGCTCCCAGCTGGAATGAAACCAGCCCAAACCCCATGAAAGGCCATGGGTTCTCTGCCTCCTGCACTCCACTGAGTTTGTTGTCCTGGTCATAGGGTGAAAAGCAAAACTACTAAAGCATCTCGTTAACGAGCTTCCCTTTCTCTCTGACAGGAAGCCTAGAGGGGAGGGGAAAAAGTGTCGGAAGGTCTATGGGATGGAGAACAGAGATATGTGGTGCACTGCCTGCCGATGGAAGAAGGCCTGCCAAAGGTTCATCGACTAATGATTGAAATTATGCAGAGGATTTGGGGAGGGGGAGGACAACAGCAGAAGCAGATTGCTGCAGCTGCACGGATCACTTCCCATTTTCCCCTCCAGTGATGTGGTGTTGGGGGTTTTGGTTTTTTGGGGTGGGTTTTTTTTTGTTTTTTTTTTTTTTTTTGTTTTTTTTTTTGGTTTTTTTTTTTTTTGTTTTTTTTTTTTTTGTTTTTTTTGGTTTTTTTTTTTTTTTTTTTTTTGGGTTTTTTTTTTTTTTTTTTAAGAGCTTTGTATTTCTAAATGAAGCACTTGTAGCCAAGGAGAAGCACTAATTAAAACCTGTGTGGAGCAATAGAGCGAAGAAAAAAAAGAAAAGCAAAACCAAGACCACACAACAAAATCTGTCTCAGTAAGTGTGGAAACCAGAGCAGCTATTAGTGTTCTTCTGTAAAAGAAAGGAAAATGTTAATCATTTTGCTAACTCTGTGAGCTGCTTGCTCCCTAGGATCATTTTTAACCATTTCAGTCTTTCTGCTGTGAACATCTGTATTTGCTAAACTGAACAATTTTTCTTTTCCTGAAACGAAGATCTCTTTTTGAAAGCTTTCTAATAAACACTTCAGAGTCATATAAGCTACAGTTTTCTCAACAAAAGCTGTATTAAGACTGGAGACTGCTAAATAATTCTCCTGATACAAATGATCATGATTATATTTTTGAAAAGGGCATGTGGGGAAGAGTTGGGATTTTCATTTGATTGTTTATAGGAGAAAAGCAAAGCTGATTTTGCAAGAAGGACAAGCAGCACTCATGGAAGTTGTTTAAAAGAGGCACAGACCAGTGGAGTGGAACAAAGTAATTTAAGTACCAAATTGGATTTTGATCCTCTAGAGGAAGAAAAGCAGCAATGGCAAGTCACCAGCAGATACTGTCACGAGAAGTCTGAGGGAAGAAATACAGTGATGCTTGATTGAAACCCACAAGGATATAAGGGGGCTCCAGTAGCTTTTTTTATTACTCTCCCCTTTCTGAGGGGGGAGGAACAGTTGGACCAGCACAGCTGTTGCTGCAGGAGGCCTGTGAAGGACTGGTAAATGCAGCCACGAGGATTATATGTAATAACTAATTCAGGGAAACGATCCAGCCCAGCAGTTCTGCTTTTGCTTCCTTTTCTCTTATTTCAGAGATTGTTGTTAAGATAATGGTTTGTTCAGCTTTTTCTTTTAAAGTTTTACTTTATACTAAGATTTATTTGATGCAAAAAATTGGTAGAGAAAAGAAAATACCCTCTTTCCACAACATCATCTCGGAAAAAGAAGTACAACAGCAAAGGAACAACATATTTGTGGTAAAAGACCATTCCTTAATATATGAATTAACGAGTTTCTCTATTTGCAGTACTTGGATTGATTTGGGTATTTCAGTTTCTCTGTCCATTAGGAAGTATACACTGGAATGAGGCAACCTGGTGTTCTGTGTCCACTTGTATCAAATTACTGTTAATGATTATTTCAATGCAAAAAATAAAGGAAGGATTTACTAGGAAGTGAATGTACATGGCGAAATAATACTTGCCTGTTAAAGAAAACAAGACGTCTTAAAAAAAATCAAAGACACAGAAGCAAAACTTTGCCTATTAATAGAGGCTGAAGGGCCACAAATGCCTGGGTTATTTTTTTTCATAACATTTGAACCAAACAGTTTTCTAATTTTTTTAATTGTCTAAGCTGTCTCATTCTCATAAGAGGACTTTTAAGTACCTAAACAACTTTCTAAAATCTGGTCCAAAGTTCACTTGATAGCTTTATTAAGTGTGCAGCGCTGCTTGTGTCTGTGTAAAAGCACAAAATAACAGTACAGTTGTTTGGAATATACACTGAGGATTCCATAGGGTAGCAGTGAAAAGAAGAATCTATAATAGGAGCTACTGAAGGTTATCATCTGATTTTCTGTGAACAAGTTAATTGGGCAATCAGGTGCCTCATTTGAGCATGCTATTTCTGCAGTTATTTACAAATTGTGTAATTTACATGCACAAGTGGCAAGATACGCTTGCATGCATGCAATTACTTGATTTTTTTGCCCAATTGTGTTCTCTAAGTCACAAAAAAAAGAAAAACAGACTCTGAAATCCAGTAAGACCCTGAGATATATACACATATGAGTGTGTATGAGTATTTTTGTATGTGTGTATGTATATACATGTAAAACTATATATATTATATAGTTTTATATGTGTATATAAAATCTGAAATTAACAGGGAAGAGAAAGATTGTTTTCTTTACAAATAGAGAAAAATGACACTAAGGGTCAGCAGATATACATAGACGCTGTATTATCTTCTTTCCTCTTAGTAAAATATGGATTTTCCTTACTTATTGTATTTTTTCAATTTCCACGGTTCAATACCTCATAGTAATTCATAGACATTTCATCTTCAAACACTGGGCTTGCTGATGGTGTACTTGCTTTGATAAAACTTTTAAAAATTGGGACTTTCCCAAGATATTCCTGCCAGTTTGTTCCCCGCCTCCCATTTTAAAGGCGCTCCAAAACTATAAAGCGTTCCATAATTTGACTGTTGTTGGACTAACAGTATTTGCCTATATATTTGTGGTTCACCTCCTTTTTGCTTTGGAGGATTTTTGAAAATAATGTATCAGATTGTGTATTTTTTCTATAATGTCATGGCATTGTGAGCAACTTTCCCGAGGGCACTTCAGGAATTATTGTAATAAGATTATTCTTTATAAATTTCTGCACAGAAGAATGGTTTTGTTGCCAGACCAGATTGCCCTCTGGTACAAATTGAATACGGATTACATAAAGGACTGAAGCCACAAACCATCAAAACTGGAGAGAAAGTTGGTGTTAACGAGTCAGAAGGTATTGATAAATCCTGCGGGACAAAGCTAAAATTACCGGTATTTTTACTCAACCTTTAATCAGTAGTTTATATTAAATCAGTTTTGGATGCTATGGCTGTGGCATTTTGATTCATGAGTAGGCACCTGTTGAGGTACCGTGTCTGAGGCAAGGCCGGCGTTCTGCAGTCACTTTGTGCTTTGAGCTCCAATTAACTCGTGTTGCACGAGCAGTTCAGCATCTGCCAAGATCCCCTTTGTGATCCTCACACAGCCAGCAAGGACAGAAGTGTCATCAGCTGAGCCTTCCTTCTGCTGGCAGTACTGATCATAATCTGGAGTAATCGTGTTCATTTTTCAGTCTCTTGTTTCTGTGTTGCTTTGGGCTGTGTTGCTGTCCTCCTAACACCTGATTTATCTCACACTTCTGTACTGACCAAAATAAGCAGATTTCTTTGTTCTCCTGAGGAGGAGCTAGCCTGAGTGCTGTGGTCATTTATTGTCATCACTACATGTGATGACAGTTCCAGTTTTTGGTTTCTCTGTGGGAGGTAGGTCATTGTCTCTGACCCCCCAGAGAAGTCGGAGGGAATGTCTTGAACACATCATGCAGTGTCTATGTGCTACAGGGAATTGGATGGTGGTTTATCTATGTCAAGAACCAGAACATGATATAAAAATTTAAGGATCTGTTTTATTGAAATTGGTAACAGAAATTGCCAGTATCAGTATCAGAGTGGAGATCAACCATACTCATCCCAAATATTTTTTCTTTAGGAGTTTCATTGTTAAAACAAAACTATTTCTCAATTCCCCATTCACCCCATTTCCCAAAAGATTTGGAAAACGAGATAATTTTAGAAGTGGGAAATTTTAATGGCAATTTTTAATACTGACTGTGCTCCAGCTGCTCCTCTGTGAAGTTATTGAACATTAAAACTCAGATCATCTTAGTCATAAAAGGGTTTCCACACAAAACACTGTGCCTGATTCTCTAGTGCCTTGCACAAATGCAACAGGATATACAAGATGCAAAGTGAGTAAAACTTCTTCTGTTCCAATTTGCAGGTTTACACTTTTAACCAATACCAGTCATCACCTAGCACGTACCTGATGGCAGGTCAGCCCTTCTTGTGTGAGTAAGCTGAACACAATGCCTGTTCCCAAATTTTCCCAAATCCTTAGAATGGTATGAATGTTAGCTATCTAATTATCTACAGGTTCCTTGCAGTCATTGGCTATCTTTATTCCTTGTCCCTTTTGTTTTTCACAATAATGTCTAGATAGGCAGCACAAGAGGAGGTAAAGCTTTAGCCAAAAGCTCTTGCAGAACCTGCACGATAGATTCCAGCACCATGCAATGTCCCAGATGTTCTTGGCACTAATTTCATTTTGTCATTCATTCTGATCCAGTACATTGGGATGGTTTTGTAGTGCCTGCTGAGACCTGGGACCAGCTAAAATGGCCCTGTTGAGAATCCAGGACAATCGCTGTAAGTGTCGCACTGCAAAGTGATTTCTTTCTTCTGCTGCCTGTAAACGTATTGGAACATTATCTTGGAAGCAGGACATGGAATTAGAGGCTTGCTAGCCTCTTGCAGAGATGTTGGAGGTTGCCAGTGAGGCTTCCTTCTATAGGTTCAAATTTAGAGTCATCTGCTGGAGAAAGTTGTGCTGCGCCTTTTCTTATCAATATTTTGATATGGAAACATTTGTAAAGCCTCATCTTGATAGTATATTTATATTTTATTCAATCTTCCTGTGAGGTGGTAGCACTGGAACTGAGAGCAGTATGGAGTTTGGGCTTTAATCTGCATTTGTCAGGTTTTTCTAGTACATAACCAGGCAGGTATGAGGTATCATAGTGTAGATTTTATTCTAATACAAGTTCAGCAGAGTTTTATGGTACCTTTGGAAAATACCTAGAAGGAAGTCATGGACAGAAATCAAGCTGAGCATTTAAATACACTCTCTCTGTCTCCTAGATGGGAGCGGCCTTTCTTTGCATCCATATGGAGCTGGAAAATCTTAACAGCCAATGCACACCTACACTTGAGGGTGCCCACTTGAACTGCTCTTTCTGTCTTGGACTAGAGTGCATTCACTCTGACCATGCTCTCAGTTCTGTCCAAATGTGGGATTTAAGGAGGTGTGTGTCTCCACTTGCAACTTTTTTAGCTTATTCCTCAATACAGAAAGTACTCATCACGTTCTTTGTGCTTCACACGGACCATTTGTAACAGCAATGCAGAAAGACTCCGGGAACAGGGAAATCAGCCTGTTTCT